TTAGATTACGTCAGTAACATTTTTTGTATTTTCAGAGATAGAGGGGCTATTTAGGTGGCCTGTTTTAAACGAAACACCCTGTATAATAGTATGATACCTCCGATATTTTCTGACCGTTTACTCTCGAATGTTTAGCATATTCTGAAGCCTAGAACAAGCGCCATTCTTCCTAGATAAACAAACCTAATTCCGAAAGGATTACACTACTGTTATAATAGAACAAAAACGACTGTCTTGAAAAGACCGCGGTGCCGCCTTGTTATCGTAAAGTCGAGACTAAAGAAATATTGAAATTTCTTAGCACTGGCGTTCGAGCACGCGATATCGAGTGATCGTTAAATTAAAATTATAAGGAACTGCCAAGAGTGAATATTATTTTTATAAAAAATTTCATTAAAATGATATTCATCGTATGTATTTCATCCTTGGATTATACGAGCAATTAAAAGAGAAAGAGGAAAGCATAGGGGAAAGAAAGACAGGGTTAAGGGGAGATTGATGATGGTTATAGTGTAACGAGTACGCCACACGCGACACGGCTTAAAACCCAGAATTATCGATCTCCCTGGACAGCCTCGTCTATGTAGAAAGCATTGTTGAAATCACTTCGATGTATTCCAATGACGGTTCCTGTATAGTTACTAGAGTGTTATGTGAATTATTGTAACGTTGATCGAACTTCGTCTTCGTTCCAAAGATATATCCTCAGGAAATCCATGATACATTGTTCAAAAATAATGGTATTTAAATGGCTAATAGTATGGGTAATAAAAGAGAAGGTATATTTAATGGTAATAATGTATGTAAATGGCTATTGGTATTTATGGGTGGAAACAATTAATAAAAAGTAATAATGTCTTTATTAAAGATAATATTTAATTATTACAGACGAGGTGTTTCATCTTTCGAAAAAGGATCCCAGCCACATGCACGAGATTTGAAATCTCGTATCGCCTTATTTAATTTTTTTTTTTTTTTAATTTTTATTTATTCATTTTTTAATAGTATTAGACAATTTTTCATGATACTGACTTTTACGAACCGAATTCATTTTTGTTATCTAATTAATCCAATAATGGCTTTATCTGAAAAGAGTACAATACAAATACAAATGCGTGTATAGTTGGAAAATAATGAGTACTAATTGTTGTTTACATTTAATTTCAACATTTATCAATTACCAGCAACTACAGTGCTATTATTAGTTCCATATTTCATCCATGTATTTACCATGATATTACGTATGTTATTGGATTCAAAATTTCGGTTCCTGCAAATAGCATATGGTGGTACTCGACGTTATTGTAGTGCCTTCGTTTGTACGATCATTCCACGTCACGTGTGAGTGAAATGAAAAGCAAGGAATTCCAGTTGACATACGTAATCGAATTTATTTGTATATTGCATTCGAGAGATTATAATAACGCTTGAAATTCGTACCTGTAATTTGTCGAATAATACGATTATCGAGCTTCAAAATCCAAATTTTCAGATTTCTACATTTCAATATTTTTTAATGTTCAGTTAAACAATTTTTTAATTTTCTAAATTGTTTTCGGTTCTTGAATAATGCTCGACTTTGAAATATGTAACGTGTATGTCACGGAGCGAAAAAGTTTTGTGAATGACAGTGCAAGTTTTTGTCGTTTTGCAAGATACGAACGGACTTACGTGAAAGGGTCTGAAACGATGCAAGAGATGATGATGATGCATGGATATTGCTCTGGTTTTACGGGTTTTTTGGTCCGGTAATAATCCGCTTTTGTGTTTTGAAATATGTGTATACCGTAGTCGTGCCATACGAGCTGCTTTGTATGCCTTTTCTTTTCTATCCTCGAATATGATTATAGATTATATAGTTATTATATACATCATTTTTTAGAGGGTCAAATATAATCAATCTCCAATTGAAAATCATTTACCTTTATTTTCATTTGAAAAAATTTTGAAATCTAAAATGTAATATTTTGAAATTTGCATTTAATAGGTTTGAAAGTTTTGCACTTGACATTTTAATTTTAAAGCGTTGAAATTTCCATAGTGGCATTATTAAATTTTGAAACTTTCAAATTTTAATTTTTTCAATTTTCAACGAAGTTATTTCTGTTGAAAGTTTCATGAATAATTCAATCGTGTTAATTACAGTCCAATATAATTTAAGAAATTTCTTTTTCATATGATCAAATTTTCCAAGAAATCTTATGCTACTTAAATGAAAAGAAAATCAATATTTTTAAATTTATTTTATATTTAATATAGATTGCAGGAGGTATCTTTGAAAGGGTAGTTCGAAACACTGGCAGTTTAATACTTGTATGAGTAATTTATCCTGAATTAAAGTCGAACAAGCAGTCAGGGGGTCGTTATGTAGGAGACAATGGTGATAAAAGCAGCAATCTCGAGCTCGAGATAGCTGGTAATGCAGGTGTGTATACCGCATCAGCATCTTGACAAGTATCACTGTCGTATTTTCATTTTATGCGGTGTGCTACTACAGAAATGAAAGATATATCATACTATCTGTACAGGAAAATCCTTTGGTATTTTTCCATGCTAAAAATAAGTAATCAAAATGAAAATCGAAATACTAATGAAACATTTGTATAGGAATTTTCAACAAATTTTAAGCTTCAAATTAATATAAAATAATCCCTCTTTTATGATACATTGATTGTATATTTTCCAGTAGAAAATGCGTACATTTCTGTCGATGCTTAGAAAACCACAGCCGTATAGACGAACGCACAATTTTTCCTTTTTTCCACCCCTTTCGCTCAGGAAATACAACACAGAAGAAACAATAGCTGCACTGTCTCAGTTGATTTCAGTATCCGTGACCCGATTACTCGACATACCTCGTATATATACCTGCAGTTTTCAGTAACGACCTTTTAATCGATATCACTGCTCTTTCATCTTTTTGAGTCACGGATAAATCGTTTCTCCGTTGAGCGATGGTCACTCTTTTGTTAAAGTTTATTGGACGAACGATCATGCACTTTTTCCTTTTGTTTTCTTGTACAGTAAACGCTTGATAATTCCCTGCATTTGGAGTTTTCTAAGGAATTATCGGGCGTCAATGGGGCATCCCTGCATTTTTCATAATTCATTAGTTTCTGTGATTAATTGATCTTTTATTTGTTTCTGTGAAAAAAATTATATGGCATGAAATGAGTCTTGGATGAATGTTTAGTGATTGCAGATAATCATGATACTTGTTTAGTGATTTCTTTTTCGATTGCTTTAATTAATTATGTACTTAATGTTCGATGTAATTAAATTTTCTGCTTATCTAATCATCTTATCTAACGTTTATAATCAATTTTTTTTTTTAGTAGATTTTGGTCATGCGTTTTCGTCCTCTTCGGGTTTATCACACTGATAACCATTTTTTAAAAGTTTGTTAAATATTTATAGAATTTCATAGAAATTCAAAGTAGTAAGTTCATATCGAATCTTGAACCTTTGAATTAATTAATTAAAACGTTGTAGCTTTGAATTTTGAATTTGAAACTGATATAAAAATTATCAACATTTGTATTATAGAAATCACAAATTTGCAATATTTGAAAATAAATAGATATTTTATTAAAAGTTTATAATAATTTATACGTATAATATAATTTGATACCATAATTAATATTTATCTCTCTTTTCGAATTGCAAACAAAATAGATATATTTTATGTTCGCTGAATACGAAATATGTTTATTAATAATGACACCGTTATCCTCATATATTTCTCTGATATTTCATTGCACCACGAGTTTTGGTCCATAACTTCCTCTGCTGGCAACATTTTCGCAATTTGTTGTATGAATGATTACGACTGCGATTTATGGTCAATATTTATCTCTGTTAAAGAAAACTATTACAAATCCATTACCAGATGTTTCTTCTATGAATTATTATTAAAAAAAAAAACCACGTGTGGTACAGGGTCATTTCAAAGTTACTGCAATAAGGATGTGTCATTTTTACGTCCTACTTTTACAAGAACAGAGTTAATTACATTGTCTATTATCAACATTTTCATTTAAATAGAAAACAAAAGTCCCTGTAACCAAATTAATTTTCTATAAATCCTTAGATATTTAAAATTCCTGGAAACTTTCAAACTTCCAAAAAATTATTATAAATAAGGTACCCTTGAATCATTCTTCTTCTATCTCTTTCCACTTTATAAATTTAATTATTTGTCATTGGGCATCAGGTAAATTTAAAATTCCTGGAAACTTTCAAACTTCCAAAAAATTATTATAAATAAGGTACCCTTGAATCATTCTTCTTCTATCTTTTTCCACTTTATAAATTTAATTATTTGTCATTGGACATCAGATAAATTTAAAATTCCTGAGAACTTTCAAACTTCCAAAAAATTATTATAAATAAGGTACCCTTGAATCATTCTTCTTCTATCTCTTTCCACTTTATAAATTTAATTATTTGTCATTGGGCATCAGGTAAATTTAAAATTCCTGGAAACTTTCAAACTTCCAAAAAATTATTATAAATAAGGTACCCTTGAATCATTCTTCTTCTATCTCTTTCCACTTTATAAATTTAATTATTTGTCATTGGGCATCAGGTAAATTTAAAATTCCTGGAAACTTTCAAACTTCCAAAAAATTATTATAAATAAGGTACCCTTGAATCATTCTTCTCCTATCTCTTTCCACTTTATAAATTTACATTGGGCATCAGGTAAATTTAAAATTCCTGGAAACTTTCAAACTTTCCACTTTATGAATTTAATTATTTGTCATTGGAAATCAGGTAAATTCGATTATCTCAGTTAAGTTATACATAGAGGTATAGGGTGCAAGGAACGCAACAGGGAAGAGAAAGAATCCGATGGTAGAGCTCTTATACATGGTGGATGGTGGATGAAACTCGGTGGGTGGGTGTCGCGGCTGTGGAAAAGGAAGGCAGGGGGGAGGGCTCGTTTAGCACGCAGGATCAGCATCGAAGGGAGAAGCCTCGGTTCGTCTCTTTTAGTAGTAGCTCCGCCGCATTCGTACCTACCACGTCCGTCAAACAATTTCATACATTCATTTTTATTTCCTCCCTCCCCCCCTCTCTCTCTCTCTCCGTGTCTGTGTTCGGCCTGGCTGCTAGCTTAGTGTTGTACGCACGCCCGTTCGGACAGACACAGGTCTCGTCCGTGACGTTGTTGTCATTAAACGTCGGAGAGGGAGAAAGCTTACAGGTAGAGCCCGTGTAAGTCGCGACCGTAGTATGCTGGCTGAAGCTCGAAGAGTACTACCTTTTCCGGTGGATGGCTAATTGCTGGTGGGAAGAAAGGGCAGAAAAGGAAGGCTTTTCGAGTGTGCTTCTCGCGTGCTCACTTCGCTGTCCGGACTTGAAGAGGAGGATATACCTTGGTGTGGATTGTGTTTCATCGGACAGAAAAATTTCTTACTTTTCTGCTTTTTCTTTCTCATCAGAGTGGAGATTATTATTCGGATCGGTGTACGTTGTATAGGTATACGATGATTTTATCAACGGATCGGTGAACGTTCGTCCACACAGAGACGTATTTTGTGTATTGTGACGGAATATAGCTGGATGAGTTTTCGAACCTTGTGAACAGACACTGGTATTTTGTGGGTGTTGAAGTGATCGCTGACGAGACCAGGAGTGAATTTCGACGAATCGTGAAATTTTATTGCAGATCTCTGGTAAGGATTTTCAGATTGATTTCGAGATGAGGGAACCGACGGATCGCGACGGCGATTGATTATTTTCATTCGGGGTCACTTTCACCCGTAACAATTTTATTAGAAAATATGTTCAATAATAATAAAATATATATAAACACCAAGGGGTAGATATAGTGATATATAATTCGTATTGGGTCCAGATGACCTTGCATTCGGAGAGTTGAGATTAATATTGAATTTAAGTTCTAAATCATAGATTAGGTCAGGAAAGATTAATTAATTTTAAAAATTTTGATACCTTGTGTAATGTATTTAATAGTTGGAAATTCCTGGGGACTTTGGGGGATTCCTAGGGATTATTGGTAATCCTTAGAACTTAAGAACTTATTATACAAAATAACAAAACCCTTTCTAAAAATTTTTTTTTCTTTTTAATTAATTCATCTTAAGTTCAAGTGTTTACATAAGACAGTTTCTAGAAATCAAATTATTAATTTTCTTTTTCATGTTATAACGTGTAAAATACTTATGTTTAACTTCACAACAGTATCAGCTACTTGTTTCTTATTATGTCATCTTTGTGGAAACTTATCTTTGTAATTGATAATTGATAATTCTACTTATAATAGACGCACATGGTACGTTGTTGATTGAATTACACTAAACGTTGTATGACGCACCCCGTGCGGCTTCATTTTTCAACGCGTTAAGTGTAGTAAATTACGCTTTCTTCTTTTTCATATAGAAATGGTGGTATCGATTATCGATATCCTATTGATACTTAACCCTCGCTTATCATACTTATTTTTCGTAGGACCTGAGATAATTTCTCTGTATAAATCTGCTTAAAGTTATTAAAAATTGAGATTGTTATTCGAAAATATACATTAGCTAAATTTCCTTATGATTGACAAAAAATCAAAGTAACAACAAATACAACAATCTAATAATACTTTTGAATATTTTGAACAAAAGTGGAGGTGAAAAATTCTCCAATTTTTATTTACAACAGTTTTTGGAAACATACTGTGAGAAAAATGCAATCAAATAAATCATAAAAAAAATATTTGTAAGCTGTCCATCCATTGTGTACTTTTTCTTTTTCTACTGTTTTTACGTGGATAGTATTTTTTGTGAATTTATGACGTTTACTGTATCTACTGACAGCTTTTCCCACTTATTCGAAAAATAAAAAAAAAAAAGTTACACTGCCATCGCATTGGAGTTTTGACAGACCCCAGGCATGAATCATTACTTATTATGTCAAGCTCTAGATACAAGTGGTTCTGACCACGTTCGAAACTTTTGTTCTGAAAGGGCTTTGCCATCCTAACTTTCAAATTGCAACGGTGCTAAAGTTGGAAATTTCGTTGGGGTTTCAGTAACCCCAGGTGTGACACGCAGGGGTTAATGATATATCGGTAATCTCGTTAAAGTATCATTAGAGCTAATGGGGATAACTAAATTAGAATGTGACACATAGTTTTGTCTTTCAAAGTCTAAGTAAATTATATATTAAAAGGGGGTGCGATAGTTAACAAAAATCTAGAATTCATCCCTTAAAACTGTATTACCACAGATGAAAATAATACGTATTTATTATTTTTAGTTATTCTTGAAATCTGCAAAGTTTCATCAAAATTGAAATCTCACCCTTCGAAATTTTTCCTTGTTAAGTATTGTAATTTTAATTGATTATAATAGATTCATTGTTTAAATTATTACTAGATATTCGTTCTTGATGGATATTGGGTTTCATTGTTTCATCCTTGACATTCCAATTGATTATTCCTTTCAAGGATATGAACCTTCGATACAGATAACTGTCAGAAGTTGATCGTGAATAATTCATCATGGCAATAGAGACAGAAGACAAACACCATTGAGACAATCGGATTGATACCAATACAATCTCAGCTTTGTTACAATAATTGATAATATTCATATAGAAACACTGTATTGATTCTCTGAATTCAGAATTATTTAAAAATAATGTTTATTCAATGGAAAATTATTTTTTTATTTTCAAACCATCAATTCTGAAAAATTGAAAACCTGGATATTCACTTTGGATTTTGAAATTTTTTAATTTAAAGTTTGATACAATTTGATAACTATTTGATTTAATATTTTTAATGGAAATTTGTTAATTTTCTTACTTTACTCGTGGTATTAAAAATCATAAAGATCCTTGAAATGATCACGAATGGTATATCAGCAGAAGTATACGAGAATGGCCTACCGGAAACAAGAGCACTATGATTTGAAAGGTAAAAGATTCCATACAATAGGGGTCAGAACAGTAGCTCAAGGTTGCACTAAATCCTACTTCTGTTTTAAATGTCCTGCTATCGATCTTAGTGGGACCTTCTATTTCGTGAAAAGAAGACAAATATTTCACTTTCGACCCATATATAATCCAAAGAAATTCAGAAGAAGAGAATAATAAGAAACCAGCTATCTAATTTAACCCTTGAACAAACGAAGCTTGAGTATTTTTATATATTTTTTTTTAATTGATCACAATTACAATACACTTTCGAAGGTTCGTATCATCTGATCCAAATTTTATTATATTATTAAACAAATATACTCTATGTACATTTATGAGTTATACTTCTTCTAAATATTGGATGAACATGTTCACTGACTACTGAGTTCGTGATTGTGATTTATATATTACATCAAGCTATGCAATAAATAATAACATCAAGTATTAAAATTTCAATAATATTCACTATTCTCTTCCTTATTGCTTTTACAGTGTTTTAGACCTGAAATGTGGGGTGTGAATTGTTATATAAAAATTGGAAATAGAAAAGAAAATAAGAAATATTAGTGGCTATAAATCAGACAGTTTTTTATTAGACTCTTACTCGGACGAAAAACGATCAATATTATTGGCTCGACGTCGTATAAATAATATTGATAGTAATACTAAATCTATTTATGAATCTCTATTAAAGGGAACAAATACTATATTAAAAAACGTCTTCCTAGAATATTGTCTTCCAATTCTGTCCGACGATTCATTATCTATTTAATGAAAAGATTGATAAAGATTTATAGTTTCAAGATTTCAGAATTTTAGGATACCAAAATTCAGAGTTTCGAAATGTCGAAGTCGAAATTCAAATTTCAAGCTTAACTTTTTACGTTTTATCAATTTCTCTGTTATCTGTTTCTTGGGACATGTATCTGACGAATGGGCGGATCACCCGCAGAAAATCCATGAATAAGAAAGAAAACGAGTGTAATATTTTCTCCCTTACAGATCCCTTTGGTAATCTGTTACCAGTCGTAAAGAGTAATAAGAGCAATGGGATATCACTTTCCTGATTTCTTTCCACGTTTCGCTGAATCAATAACCGAGTAGTTGGAGTTCGAGAGGCCGTATTTAATATGGTATGGTCTAATATTTGAAGAAAGTAAATCATTCTTCAAGCACAGATAACTTATTCTTCTCTTCTCCTTTAGAAACAAAATTTTCTAATATTCCTTATCTTACAAAAAAAGATAATCAAACTCGTTCAATCTTCAACGTATCTGAATTACCTAAACGTGACTGATTAATTTTTATAAATTTATTTCAATGACTTCTAATCATTAATTATTAATCAATAAATTGATTGCAATTTTCAATATTGTCAGTGTATTTTATTACAAAAGAAAAATACAAATTTGTCAATTATTGTTAAGAAAAAAAAATAGTGTGTACCAGATATGTAACTCGATAGCAGCACGATCAATTCTTCGCCTTTTTTATTAGTAACAGCCTGTGCCGAAGATGGTATACTTGAATATGTATAAATGCCATCGACATCTCTGCTACTCGTGTTCCAGATTACCTTTAAAGTCTCCATGTCATAGCATACATTAACTCTGAGAAAAACACTCGTGCGTGTTATTTTATGGAATCAGTGAATAGTTCCAATTACAGATATCCTTGTATTGATTAACGAAGGATAAAATTAATTAGTCCAAATATATTTACAAAATTTTGATATTTTTCAAATTCATTTTAATATCAATTTAATTTTACAGTACACAATTGTTCACATATGTGTGTAAAACATAAAAACAATTCTAAATATGTATTTTTATAATTCAAATTATTTTTAAAAATAATTATAAAATTCTAATAATTTTTCCTATGACTTTTAAAAAGTAGTGAATATAGTTAAAGAGTTCAGTCGTTTTAATCTGTTTATTATTTAAAGTTACAGTCAATTTTTAAGTACTTAGTTTTTCCAAACACATAGTACGTAAATGCTTACTTACAACTACTTTTTAACAAGAATATTTGAAAAGGAAAGAGAGTACAGCTTGACAGAAGACAGACAGTCGATGTCCAAACTGTAATTTCATGCAAGAAAACTCACTGATTGCTCGCTATTTACATTCGAACTAGCTAACACATGAGATTGTATATTTTCATTCGCAAACGTACGTTCGCTGTTCTGGAAAATCTTTTTATATTACCGTGGAATAGCTTGCGTTCTAAAGTTAGACAGTCTACGTTCGCGAAGTCAGGTTGAATGCGTTGCCTTTGCACAAAAATAAGAGGAATATAAAAGATACCAAAACTTCAACTTCAATAGTTATAATATGTTTATAGAAGTAGGGAATTTAGTGGATAAGATACCCAAGTGTAAATGCAGGGATGCACTGGGTTCGAATCCTGATTAGAGGAGTTTCACGACTACAGAATTTTTTCTACAATAATTATATTATTATTTGATAACATTTGAAAATTTTAGAATTCAAATTTTAGTATATTGAAACCGATAAAATTAGATGAAATTATGCTTAATTATAAAAGATATTTGAATGGTAATTTTCATATCAAATGAATTGCCACAAGAAAAGAAGAAAATTGCCATTCCATTCAATTGAAAATAGATGGAAAATAGAAGGTACATGGTGACATAAAATAAGACTTTTCAGCGTTAGTGGATAACAGTCTAACAATTAACGCGACTTAAGCGTTCCTTGGGACCAGATGGTCCAAATAACGA